AGTGTGAATCATACAAAGTTTTACGAATTACAGTTCTAAAATTATATATTGAATCTACATAACTTTATATATCGAATACTACATTAAATATATAACCACGTATATTGAATACTACATAAATAATTCATTAAGTAGATACTTCATTAAGATATTTCATTTACGGTGATTGAAATAGATACTTCATTAAGTAAGGCATATATACAACCATGTGTATGGGGCATGCTTGGAGCCTTAGGCTGCGTCTTCCCTGAGCTCTTGGCCCGAAACGGAGTGAAGTTTGGAAAGGCGGTTTGGTTCAAAGCGGTTCACAAATCTTCAGCGAGGGAGGATTGGACTACTTGGGAAACCCGAGTATTCATTAGTAGCCATTTGGACTACTCAAGTGATCCTCATGGGAGCTGTTGAAGGTTACAGAGTCGCTGGAAATGGACCATTGGGAGAAGCAGAGGACTTGCTTTACCCTGGTGGAAGTTTCGACCCATTAGGCCCCGCTACCGATCCGTTCGCAGAATTGAAGGTGAAAGAGATCAAGGACGAAAGGTTAGCTATGATCACTATGTTTGGATACATTTTTCAAGCCATTGGCACTGAAAAGGGACCATTGGAGAATCTTGCTGACCATTTGGCCGATCCGGTTAACAACAACGCATGGGCATTTGCCACTAACTTCGTGAGTTTAGTGATCGAATTGTGTGTATTGTGTTTGTTGAATGTGATGTAAAAAACTTCTCAAATGTATGGTCTTATGAAACTTTATAATATTAATGTATAAGATTCTTTGGTTCTTAAAAAAAAAATCAATCATATACCAATATGCAAGAACAATTTCCATTCGAATCAAAGTTACATAACTCCAAATACTTTATGAGAAAACTTGCAAACATAAAAGTTTATTTCAACATATAAATGGTCAATGAAATTATAATGGATAATAATCACCCGTTAGTGTATTTGATTCTTGGGTGTCTTTAATTCTTGGCAGTGAGTGTTTTTGTTTTTTGGTCAATGAAATTATAATGGATAATGAAATTTTGAGTGTCTTTGATACTCCACCCCTCAGAGAACATGTCATCATTAAGAATCATAACATGCTTTTCTTATAAAACACTCAAAGAGTTGAGACATTATTCTTTAATTTCAAGCAAAAGAACAAACAGAGCCGTTGTGATATATCGCTCGCCATGGCTAGGAGACAGAACATGTTGTTATGAAACATGTTAGAGCAGAAACTATAATGTGATTAAAGCAAATAAGAAATCCGTTATACCTCACCGTGATAAGTTTTGAAACTCAATAAACCATAACGAAAAACAAATAAAATCAAAAGGCCTTTAACTAATAAACCAACACATGTTATGACACCCTAAATTTAAAATAGATTTTGCTAGAAACCTGAATTTAAACCAAAACCAAACCGTATCAAATTGGATAAAATGGTTCTTAATTCTATTCAGTTTCTATAAATATAAACTGAAAACCGGAAGATACTTTCTTTACGCTAAGATCACAATATAACCGGACCGGACCAGAACAAACAGAGAGAGACCACTCTGAGTTGTTTGCTATGAAGGCGTATGCATTTTGGTGTGAGGCGATGGACTTAAGATCCTGTTGCAAGAGCAAGGTTTCGACTTTGGTGGACCTTCTCCACATAAATCTTTGAGGATAGTAAGACAAAGATTGAGGATCTAATGCCACATGAAAAGATCTTCTCCACATAAATCTTTTGCCTTAAGATCAATGGATACAAAGTC